GAATAAATTATATCACCGCACGTGCCATTTATTTTATTGCACCTTTATTAGAATAGAGTATAATATTAATTAATAAAAATTACTCACGGAATGGTGATTTTGCCATGGTTGTATCATATATTGGGCACTAAATCACTTTTATTTTAACAGTTTATGAAATTGAATGTGAATTATTTATCACGACCACGCGGTGAACATTTCGAACTGCACTGAACGTAAACAAAGCAAAAACTGCTGATAAACAGCATTGGAGTTAGTTTGAAATAACAACGAATGGGGGCAGCACCATCCGGTGCAACTGAATATCAAAACAAAACCGTCACACACTCATATACAGATAAAACGGTTCGACGATGTAAATAACAAACTACAGAAGAAATGTTTTGTTTCGAATTGGCTATGAATATTATATGATTTTGTGTTTTAATACTAACACATAGAAAATTACTTAGAGCTCCAGGGTTTTGTTCGATGCAATACAATGTTAAAATAAACGCAATATTAGCAGACTTACCTAAATTCTAATTGCGTAGTACATTTGTTGGAGCCATGATGAGTCGCATTGTAAACATCGAGTGAATTAATTCGATATTTTTTGTATTTACTCGTAACTCGGAAAAGAAAATCATCTGCGATATTTAACTAACACTAAAGCTGACGTAATGTTGCACGCCAGAGAGTATGCAACCATAACTACACCAAAACTGCACATAACAAATATTCTGCTTATGCAACTTTTTATACACCAAAACGCACAACTTCTAATTATACCAAAAAAGTAACTAAAATGGCATTATAATAAAAAATCGTTTTATTGTTAGCCTTAGGAAATGAATTGAAAATGATGTCCAATTAAAATATTTCCGAACATCATCCATCGGTTTCCATTGAGTAAATTGCCAACTAAAATCGCACGAATATTCTAATGAATAAATTATATCACCGTATGTACCTTATAATTTATTACACCTTAATTAGAATAGTTGAAAATCTTGCAGTTGGACTAAACTACCATCCAATAATCAACTATACAGAGTGTTTCCACCATTATTTCAATAGTTATTAATTACCTTCGCAGAGTAAATATAAAATTTAACGCATATTATACTCTATATAAACTTGCCGATGTACTTAAGCGCAAACAAAACGATCATTATAATATACTAACTGACAAACGCGGACATAAATACGCACCAAGTAGTGAATGAATTTTAATTGGGCGCGTAATGGGGTAAAATTATACAGCCACCGATATGCAACATGTGCACAACTTACACACCTCTGGCTGTACCTATAGCTACTTACTCGACTACGAGACGACGCACATAAATTGCACCAATACACAGAGTTAAACACTGCGTGTTTGTTGGCATACACGGATGGCAAGTGCACCACTTTATTCGTTATGAATTCAATCGGCTGATATATGAAGCTCGCGGATGATAAACGAGTGTCTTTCCCATACCTTGCGCGCATATATGCACTTGAATGGTGCAACACCACGGAATGTCAATTTTTTTCTTCGCGAAGTTCTTCGGACAACGCACGCAGGACATTACACGCGCTAACACTAGCAATTGCTGCAGATTATGTCTCTTTTGCTGGGTATTATTAGTTTTAGATTTGTGCACGAGGAAACACATCATAACGTAGAAAATCGTGAGCACGTTAGATTCACCGTACGCGCTGTGAGTTGTGATGTTTTGAGGTTAGAATACTATAAATGGGTACTAACCAAATGTTTTGTATGTAACAGTTGTATTTCTTACTTTTATCGTAGAATTGATTTAATATTTATTTTAATTATGCTACTTATTAATTATAATTACCTTTTTTGTTGACAGTCAGTTGTTACAAACACTATAAATACTTAATTAAGTGTTCTTTCTTGCAATTGCTTAAATTTAGGTTTTACGGTTAGTTGGTTGCCTACATTTTCCAATGAAATCTTTGAAGGTGTAAACAAATTTTAATTCTTTTATGCTATAAAAATCGACATTAGCAACAATAGCCAATCAACATATCATGTTTATGTAAGCGAACGTCCTTCCTTTTGTTTCGTCGAAATGACAAGTTCAGAAACGGGAATAAATTAAATTAGAAAGTGTTTTGTCTTCCTGTCATTAATAAAATATCAGCGTACCTATACCTTTTCAAACACCCACAACGTCCTCAGATCGCCCTATGAATAAAGGACTTAATTTAAACATTGAAATACCGCAATCATCTATAACGACAAAACTTTATTGGAGCCTATTCTGAATGCAACATATTTATAGCCGCATGTTTCGAGTTTACACGTTTGTTAACAGCCGGATTTTTGTTCGGAAAGAAACATCTCACGCCTACGCGATGCATGGCACTCATAGGAGAAACTGGAGATCGCATAATGACGCGCGTTACAAACATATTTACAAAGCTGTAAAGGCTAATAGACAAGCGAGTCGATTGTGGTTATAATTTCAATGTGTACAACCGAAAAGGGGCGTCGATTAAATCGTTTATTCCTTCTTCGTATATATGCCCATTATCTGCGACGGCTATAATAGAACAATGACACTTATATGCATAAATAAACAATGAAATTGATATTATACGAGCCGTGTGTCAAATGTAATCCAGGCAAAAATAAGTTTTATGGAAATTCGCTGTTAATTTATGTCTTTTAACTTTTTTCCGTCTTTGAAAGTTGGTTAGATACTTTTAATGAATGTTGTGTTGCATAGCATTAGGCGTATTTTAAAATGGCACGCAATGTCGTGAATAATAATGGTGCATGCAACCGTTTCACAGGCCGAATTCCCAAAGGCGTTATCTCGTCATGCTGTGGCGCGCAATATTGCACAAACCACTCTATTCGATTCTGTTAGATTTACCAATTTACCTACACTGGTAGTCACACATCCATTGAGCGCGCACTGAATGAAGTACGCAAGAATGCCAATTATCCAATCGGGAAAGCCGCGGACCGCACACATCGGCCATCGGCAGCCCATCAGCCATCAGGCGTCATTGCGCGATATGCGCGGAAAGGTCGTTCTCCACCTGCATTCATTTGCGTTTGTGCATTATCGCCGACGCCGGGCATAATCGGACATATTGTCGAAGCGCCCGACCGCTAAACGTCCGCGCACGATCGATTATAAAAACCACACACACACACACACACACACACAGACACATTTTCTCCGGCGGCCGATTAACGAATTGAAAAATGTTAAATTGCTAGTAATAATGATAATAATAACGGCGACGGCCGACTGCAATTTGCAGCCTGAAAGCCAATTGCGCATACGGCGCGCATGTTTATGCGTCGTGTAAGCGACGACCGGATCGATTCAGTAATAGAATAGATCGGTTTTGTATGCGCTGGCACAATGTGTGAAAGGAGATAGCTCATTTCGCACTTAATCAATTTACATTTTGATACATTACGATATTACAATGTGCGAAGGCAGAAAGTGTGTTGAATGTACGCGTACGCGTATCTATGCGACCGAGTCGAAAATTACAAAATAAGCAGAAGGCGCGCATTGGCGTGGGAACCGAGTATGTGTGATAAAACTGCTTACGAGATTAAATTACACGCGATTATATCGCATCGCTGTGATAGAAATAGTTATTATAATCGTTAATTTTGATACAATCTTATTTTTAATCGCCAAATACAAAATGTGCATTTGGTTGCATATCATGCGTACTTTTAAATATTCTTGATTAATTAATTGTTTTTTAATAAACATCTGTCTGTAGCATCGTCTAGACACAAAGACGATTCAATAAGGTTGTCAACCTTTACTTATATTGCCGCGATGCTTAAACCAACAATAACTGTACAAGTACAAAGTAAGCCCATAAGTAATCGCAAATACTCAAAGCACCCACTACAAAGCCGCCCATTCTCAGGCGATTTCTAGCGAGTACACTACTTGCACTACCGTACCAGTTACCTCTCAAAGTGTACGCGTACGTATTATTTGCCCGTGGCACTTGATTTTCAAACTGCGACTGGAGACATGCAGACTCACCGATAAACAACGATGCTCTTGTTAAACATCGTTTCGGGTACCGAGAGTTTAAACGCTTCAAATATTTCATTTTATGTTGTCTCGTAAATGCAAGAATTGCATATTGCAGAAAATATCAAAATCTAGATAACTGAGTAAAACATTTTTGTTATATTTCGTCCACCAGTTTCCTATTTTCTTATTTTCCATTTCTTCATATTCTTTCTAATTTTATTTTAATTTACTTTTGAAAGTAGTAATTGGAGAAGGGCTAAGAATTCAGTGATTCATGCGAAACTGCAATTTATGTTTTTGACAGTTTTGCAGTTCAACAATCAACTTTTAAGAATAAAAACCAAGTTAAATTAAAATTTGAATAAAAATTAAATCTTTTAATGAATAAAACGAACGAATCAAACGTTTTCAAATAAATCCTCAGCGTTGACAGAATATTTCAATATCGACAAACCGGATTGAGATTAAGATTAGTGTCTGCATACCTATCCTGACCACAAGCACCACACAAATGTTTATCACCCATAAAATCACCTGAAAGTCACATGCGGTGGAGTTATTTCTGTCACGGCCTGTATGACGTCTTTAAAAATGTGGTGCATTATAAAAAACTAGTGAACGTTATGAAGACGTCTCGTATATTGTTTTCGTGGGCGTTCTGTCACCGTCGCAGCGGGAGAGAGTATCAGCAGCACCCACGCGAGCTGAACACTCGACTTCTCGCCCTCACTGCGCTTCTTTTTCGTATTCTTTCCACTTCTTTTCGTCTGCTTAATAGCATATGGGTGATGGCTGTAATCCGCTGCCTGATATATTCGTCCCGTGGCAATCACAATGAGCGCGCTGCTTTTATTGAAGCAGTCGGCTTCTTATACCACGACGATATCTTTACGATTTTATTAACTCACATTTGTTATAAACATAAAGGGGCATTAAATGCCTAATATGGGCTAAGAAATTGTGGATGCTTTATACTGATTGTTTCATATTTGCAAAATTTATTAAAATTTTTGTATTGTGTCGCCATCTGTCACCAAATTAATATACTAAAAGGATTTATGCATTTTCAAAACAATAATCATTTATGATGAATGTCTACGAATTTCCGAGTTGATCCAATCAACATGTGAGGCGGTTCTGGTTGCTAAACTAGGCGAACCAACTTTGCACACGCCTGCGTTATGAATACCAACATGAACTGCACCGGCGTTGGTGTAACGCACCACTGGACTACCACTATCACCCTAAAACAATAAAGTATTGTATGTATACTCCACCCGTTAATGGGCGTGAATGGGCGTACCCCGCATGTTGTGCTGTGTTGATTAACATAGCATAACACGTCATTCTTCAGTGTGCCGTACCACTCGCTGCATTTTGCGTTGGTAATTGTTCCTAAAGTTGTGTAAAGAAGTTTTTCTGAAAGACCATTGCCGGTACCACCCCATCCACTGACAGTCACATCCACGTCGCTTCCAACATAATCATTTGGTCCTGGTAAACGTACTGGCTGAATTTTACTGTTGAAGGACACAGACTGCGACAAACGTAAAATCAAAGCGTCGCCATGTTTGATAATCAAATCAGCGAAGCGAATTGTTTTACCGTCACCATCTTGACGATCTCCAGCGAGAGTTGAGCCGAGTGTAATGCGATAAGCACGTGGTTTACTAAAATTAAGGAATTTAAATGATTGAATGTTGTTTTTTAAGTTTACTTACGCATCAACGCAATGTTCGGCTGTAAGTACTAAGTTTCTTGAGATGAGGGCGCCACCACACCTCCAAAACTCCCATTGTCCATTATCGCCCAGCCCATGTACGCCCACCATCCATGGGAACTGCCCACTGCGAGCCTGTTGACCATTCACAATTCGTGTATCTTCTTCATTTTCAGGATCCTGGGCCAAACTTAATTGGAGCACAACTAACGCGAAAAAGAAACCTACAAACTTACTCATGATTGCTTATCGAGTGATAGTCGCTCGAAAAATAAAGCACTATTTAAAGGTAACAAGGGCTTGACAACCTATTATTGATCATAACTGACTGCTTAAATAATGGATGTGTTTATTGCAAATATGCAAAAATGTTAAAAATTTTCGTCGACTAATTAATATATCTATTTGCGTATTTCATGTTTCTAGGTATCGCAATTTGCGTAAGTAAAGTTACTAATATGCATTTGAATGAATATGTATAGGTATTTTTGTAAGTTGCTAAAAAAACAAAAATAGATAATAGATACTTTAAATACCTAATTGTGTAGGTAAATAATGTTTCAACAACAGGAATATTTTAAAATACATTGGGGCATTACAAATATTTTTAACTTAATACTATTGTAAATATTATCAAGGAAATAGTTAGGAATAGAAATGTTAGGAAAGTTTTTAAAACATCAAAATATGCTAAATATGCTTATATTAATATAGGAGAGTATAAAATTGGGGTTACAAGTAATGAAATGTATAGTGTATATTGGGTTGCCGCCTATCATTGAATTATAAAGATAAAAATTCAATTTTTTGGTCTAAAACCTCCGGAAAATAACAAAACACACTTTGAATAATCAAAATATTAATTTTCTTAAAATATTTTTTGTCTTGCAAAAGTAAATTCCACCGTGGCTGATTAATGACAAAAGTCATTAATTAATTCTACGCAAAACACACAGTTCTTCACTATGGTCGCGCCAATGTGCACAAACAAGTTATTCGGATACCACAGCGCTTATTAATCGCGAATGCTTCCCAGTGACAATCGAAATGCGTTCCTGTTCCAGGTGGTCCCCGACCGAGTGCATTTTGTTATGTTTCGTTTTGTCTCCGTGTGGTGATTCGTAAATATGTACCTACCACCGGCGAATTTTGCACGCACAAATATTCCTTCAATTTCAACTTTCAAACTTGAAATTTTGAAATATTCGGTGCGGTTTTTTTGAATGCGCTTTTTAAAATATTTCGAATTGCTTCAGTTTTTGGTATTCCCAAAAGGAATTGCATTCATTTCAGCAATTCGTGTATTTTGCTCCTTTGAATTGTAATTTCGCAATTAATTAATATGACAAATATAATAAGCAAAATAATAAGTAATTACTGTTTAAATTATATGCTATGGGCTCGTCTTATAATGAGGATTACCGTTAAGTCTAATTAAACATGTGATAAAGCCTAACAGTTTGTGCAATTTAAGTCACAACAGCAGGTGACTGTGATTGTTATACAGACAAGTTGAAATTTTGACATGAATTATAGGGCGAACCATTTTTAATTAAATTTATTTGCCTTTTTTGGTAACTGAACTGAACATATTCGTGCCCCAATACAACATAAATAGGTTTGAGGTCCCTTAATTTATTTTTAGATAAAACTTCTTGGAAGTCAATCGAAACATGTACCATAATAACTAATTGCGTACTGTGTGCCACTGCTTTTTAAAATATTGCGCAGCCTGCAGTCACCAGGGTCACTTGTGCTTCTCGACATGTGCGCGTTCATGACCACGAGCAATTACACAAATGACGACCGATGGCTATACCATTCCCGGTTCGGGCTGAGCAATAGGTACATATTTACATAATGCACGCCAAAACGAACATGCTCATTACCACCATTGCTATCAACTTATGCAGGGAATAAACCTTTACTGAGATTTGTCACGTGAGAGTTTAGAGGTTATGAATCGCAGTACTACCAATTTAAATTAAAAAAATCACTAAATTTTCTATTAAATTGCCAAAGAATAAAAAATAATTCAATCTCAATTGATATAGAACTAATTTTAATTTGTTTGGAATTTTCTAATTAAAAACTACATTCATAAATAAACTTTTGACGATAAAAAACAGTTAATACATAAAACTAATAAACATATCAAATTATAAACTAATTGCAATCAATAACGAATCGCCAGGTGCTACACACAAACGCAGCTAAACCAAAACGAAAATTAACTTGTACCAACCAACACATTAATCAATCATTAATTAATTCTCGTGTTTGTTTATACATTTAAAGAGTCAAACAAATACGGTATTAATGCGTGCGCTTTACTAATCAAGCTCATCGAATATTTAAAAATTAAAATAATAACGTACGATAATAAATTATATTGCGAGATTGAATATTAGCCTGCCGTATGCTTGCCGCATGTGTGCCTGCTGCTAATTATGTTAATGCCTGTGTTATTTATTACGAAAAGAATTAACGTGCGTGATTGTTCATAAATAAATATTGCTTCTAATACTTATAATATTTATGAATCGGAGATAATAAGTTAATTATCAGTAGGTTCCGGCGTTAAATTTTCGATAGTTTTTCTGGAAGCACGCATTAAGAAGTATTTAAAATATAAATCAGCTTTATGTCTGCACAAACCGTTAAATTTTAATTTTAAAGTTTTTTTTAGAGGTTAGATTCATGTAATGCAGTATTAAGTTACTTAGGCAAATCGAAAGCTGTATATTTGGTTGCAGTTGTTGAATGTAGCAAAAGAAGCGGTTAATAAAGGAAAATATTTACTTTTACTTAATTTATATAAGAAAACTTATTTATATATTGATTGAAGATTATCCAGAGTGATTGTGTGAAATGCAAGCAAAGTATAATAACCTTGCCGCATAAATTATATGAGCAAACAGTTTGTCGACAAATAAAGAGCAATAAAAACGAACGTGTAATCGTCTAAGTTGTTGAGGGCGTAGAGTGAACACAACTACACACTACTCGTGTTTAAATAAGTACGTACAGGTTTTTAAAAGATCGAAGATACCAATAATTCCAATATACATACTCCCATACTCTCTTTGTTGTCGTTTTTTTTTATCGACGCGCCAGCAAATTGTGTGGGAGAGCTGGGAATAACATTTCCGAAACGTGAGAATGTTGATAGCAGTAAAATAAAAATGTCGCAACATCACGTCGTGTAAATACGCTCATCACACATGATTATATGATTACATTATTAAGTATTACATAATAATTCGAATCTCTATAGTCGAATAAAACGAAATAAATTTACACCGTGTTACAAGAGTCGGTGGATGCAAAACCGTCGATGCATTAAACTCGCCAACAAATTTACATGTTTCTGCATTAGATTACAGAGTTGGTCGTGGTGTGGCGGTGTACTTTGGTTAATTGCCGGTCCTGGCGTGCATCTGAATTGCTAAATGAAAGTTGGTTGTAAACGCGACATGATAATATGGGTGCACGTGTGGGTCCGCGTTTAATTACACGAAGTAATTAATTCTGGGCGCGTCTCTGCGCCGGGCACTTCGGACAATGATTACCGATTTAATTGTGAGTGTCTCCGGCAGATACCGTTTCGTCAGCTCGAAATTGGATTGATATCACGGCGCAACTAGCGCGGCTACACCCATTGCAATTTAGATGCCACTTAAAACAATTTTACCAAGTGAAAAACGATTAAAATCCGCCATTGTAATCGATTTTACATGATTATTTTGTTGTTTTATACGCGTTGAAGTGGAAAATATTCATTCAATATAGGCAACTGAATAAACACTGGCTCCTTGAATGAAAACGTGAGAAAAAATAACTTTACAACCAGGATGTAATCCCCCAATAATAAATTGCAGTTTAACTAAATATTGACCGTCTATTTGACATGCCAAACATGTCAACATCTACCTTCTACTTCCTTATCACCATCTATTCATAACAATTTCACTTTCAAATCCCGGCTACCATGCTCATAATGAATCCTGTGTGAAATTTATAAATTTAAACCGGGAGCTAGACTCCGCGCAGCCACCTGTTGTACACAACCATGCGCGTTCCCATTACGAGCGTGAGAACTTCGGAGAATTTTCAATAATCGATTATGCATTATTATCGACGGATCTACGCAATTGCGTAATAAGTGTAACAATGACGAGATAACATACGCACATTTCTATAGTCCGAAGGTATTTTGGTATTGATTAGAAGACAAAAAGCTTGGTTATGTTGTCGACTCATAACCATTTGCGGCGGTTTTCGCACGCGCATTTTTCTCTAATCGTTATTAATAAGACAGTTGGTATGTGCGCAGAATGTCGGCATCCATCAAGGAGAGACAAAGCTGCTGAAATCGCTGCGCATCAATTGTTGACGAACAGGTGCATTTTACCCACGTTTTAATTGTTTTCCAGACTATAAAAATAGTAGAACGATTAATACTTAGTGTTTCAGAAGAAAATTATCAGTAAAAATCAAGTTTTTTTATTATTATGACAATGCGGGTTGATGTAGTCATGATTTGAGGTTATGCTGAATAAAATCAGAACGCAATCTACCTAATAGAAACCCAATAATTTTTAATAGCCGAATTGTTGACATTCCCGGATCGGACGTAAGTTATGATCATGGCACGGCGTAGTTGTGCACTTTAGTTCAGCACGAACGCATAAGTGAGACGCGCAGCTTCCTTTTCTGTGCGTGTCATCGACTTTAAGAAGCAGCACAAAGACGCCGAAGTATTTGTATTTATTTTTATTGTCGGTGTACTAGTTGTGATCGATCGGAGATTATCGCCAAGTCTCTCTTCTCTTTTCTCTCCAACCAAACCGATCGTTGTTGATTTTTTTTTGTAGTTGCGGCACAAGCTCTTAACTTTAAGTTAAGTTAACTTAACTTAAGCAGTATAGTTTCATTGCGTGCAATAAACGTCACTCAGATTTCTTCAAACGAATAAATCGTCGACGACGCTATCACCGGTCACCGATCACCCGCTATACTCGGGAATCATTTCCATTGTAGATTTGTGGATTTCTAACGAAAAAAACACAAGCAGCGTGTACGTGAAATGCGCATGCGCAGCATCTAACAAAGTAATTTACCGCAGGCACATTAATTAGAATGCAGGAAACAAATCCACCGCGCGCATTAAGATGCAAATAAAGTAAAACGCCAAGTAAATCTTTTTGGTATTCGCCAATGCGCGCTCGTTTTTCCTCCAGCAGCGAAGACTGTTCAAGGAATATAATTCGACGTAGAAAAAAACGCCAAGTTGGGCATTGCGACGTATATAGCCGATGAGCAGGTGCCTTACTATATTCCGTATTCCACGTACTTGGCACTTTTTTGTCGCTGACCGAATGGCCGTTTATGCCATATTTACAAGTCAGGCATCATCGCAATTCTCGTTTAATTTAGAAGCCTACGCGAGATAAACTCCGCACACGCGTGTTTTTTGCTACCCAGTGGTCGCGAACGCGCAAGTTTCGTTGCTTGATTAAATTATAGCCAGTTGTCATTTAACTATTTATGTGTTTATTAATCCTTTGGGGACGGCACGATTTGAATTATATGGTTTTGATGTGCGCTGAAGATAGTCGCAGCGGTTTTACAATGTTATTATATTCTCGGAAATGCACAACACGTTATTGATGGTGTTAATAAAATGTGCTACGCTTGAATTAGCACGCTAATATTTGTTGATAACTCGGCCGGTAATAAAGTTTAATTAAAACAGGGCGTAATATAGAAATTATCCTTTGCGCACGTAAATGCGAAAATAAAGTGTAGCGGAAAGGTAAATATTGTTGCGGGAATTAAGTTATTTAGTTAAAATTATGCAACTGCATAAAACAAATAACACATTACAAAACTAATGCACATTTGCATACAGTATTACGATTCTATCATTAGCAGTAAAATTTGTTGGTCGGAACAAACATAATTGTAGATGGAACTAAAAATCCAATTTACGATTATCTCTCAACTTGTAATACCCTTCGGGACCTAGATATCTCATCAATCTGCAACACAATTGTTTTAGCAAGAAAAAACGAATTAATATTCTGCACTTACGCGCTGCAAATATTAGGAAAATAGGTAATATACAGCAATGGTAAAAACGGAAACAAAGCCATCCATGATTCATTCAGCTGATTCGCGATCGTCACCGCACACAATTCTCCACATCGTTCGGCCTTCATGCGATGATCTGTTGGTTGAACCTTGATACCAAACATCTGCCGAAAATCAAAAGTCATATTATTCTTAGATAATTATTGTAGGAGATAAGCCAAAACTTACAACACCGGGTTGTTCCGTAAACGAATGTTGTAAAAAGTTGGTGAATACAGTTCCGGGGCAAATTACACTCACAGCAATATTAGCTCTTAACTTTTCATTTCTTAACGCATTCATGTATCCCTATAAAAATTACTATTAATAAATTATTAACAAATTATTATAAATAGAGATATACGTGTAATGCATGTTTTGAACCAGTATAACTAGCTGAATGCGGCACGCCAAAAACGCCGGCCACGCTAGACGTCACCACCACGTGTCCTTTTCCTTTTTCAGTAAAATGTGCCAATGCAACACGCGTCAAGTTAATCACCGAAAATAGATTCAGTTCAAACATTTCCTTATCAACTTGCATCGCGATTCTCTCCCAGATACCACGCTGTGATCTGCCCGCATTATTAAAGATGACATCAATGGTACCAAAATGATCAACAGCAGTTTTGAAGTATTCCTCGTGTTTATCTAACTTCAACATGTCCATTTCAAGTACTAAAACGTCTTCGGCACCAAGTGCACCATTCGATAATTGGAGGCATTCTTGTTTAACGCGATCCAATTCGATTTTCCGTCTCGCGGCTAGTACTAATTTCACACCGCGTTTGGCAAACGCGTAGGCGGTGTGTTCACCAATACCACTTGATGCACCAGTTATGAAAACCACTTTGCCTTTTAAACTTTCTATAAAATATAATTCGTTTCAATATGAAATCATTGTGTTGTTATTGCTACGCAACTTACCAATTGGTTTCCCGAATTTTTCATGGTATGCTAAACTTAAATCACAATCGAAGTAAAAAACTGAGAAGACATACACCAGAGTGTATACGATTAATGCCGCACCGATTATTGCAAGTAGCCATAACATCTTAACAGCCTGACAAGTTGTGAGTAAAACTAATTTTAGCGCTTATAATTTATTTACCACCGGATTCCAATGACTACTCAAAGTTCAGCGATAAAAGTTTACGCTGATTATGCGTTGTTTAAGGTCATTAATTCATAGACATTTATTTTTACAAATAATTCTTTTAATTGTCACTTTTTGAATATAAATTTATATAAATTGACACAGTTGATAAGAACATTGTAATCTAGAGTTCAAAATGCGTTCGATGAACACATGCACGATTTATTAATGATATCGATCATGCAGTGCTTGAATGGGTCTGGTGTCTTAAAAGTTAAGAAGAGATAGTATGGAATATGGCGATTGTTATAGAAAGAATTGGTCAAGACACCCATAAACCAGTAAGAATAAAAAACCATAACCAAATTTGTACCATTTATATGCGCTTTTGTTCCTGTAATCATAAAGAAAGTCAAGCCGTGTGTTTCGTTGTGAGTTATTCGTTGTTAGCGATGAAATGAATCATAAACTTATTAAGAAATTGTATTAAATGCGAAAAGATTAAATAATGCACTGTGTAGAGTAGAAGGCAAAAATGAGTAGAAACTTAAACATAAAACTAGTAGAAAATGCAAAAAATACAAATAATCTCAAAATAAATGATAAGCGAACTTAGACTTAGATGTGTTGTACCTCGACAGAACTCAACTGCGGTGCTTTGCTGTCACGTAATTTGAACATTTTCTCAGGTCCCAAAATTTTCACACCCCTGCAAAACATTCATTAAATAAAAGTAAATCAAATATTACATTCAAATCAAAACTTACAAATGGAATATTAATGGAAAATAAACAGCGCAGTATGTGATGGGCATTAAAGGAAACATAGCCATCCAACCTTCCTTGATTTTATTGGCAATGCCAATGGCACATAATTGACCACAGCGTTCGGCTGTTAATCGGCGATCAGTCGGCTGAGTTGTAATTCCATATTTCTAGTATAAATAATCGAAAAGAAATCCAAAAAATAGAAAATGGAAGAATTTCAAATAAATGTTCAGTTTCAGATCCAAACAATATAAAAATAGTTGCTAGCAAGAGTAAATAAACAACACAGAATAAAAAAAGTGATAATGTAAACGTAAACGTAAAACATGTTGAAACATGTTTTAAATATGTTGAAAATATTTCAAGAAAACAATACATGATGCGACATCTGTTGGAAAAGTATGCTACTTTGAAAAGGAGCATGCGTCAGAGTGGCCTTGATAGTAAGTGGAATTTGAATTTTTGCAATTATCCAAATTGTCAATGCGCTCAAGAAACAAGTACAATGTGCTTACCTCACCAGGTTTATCAGTAAAACTTTCCTGTAAAAAGTTTGTAAAAACAGGTCCAGGGCAGAATAAACTCACTGTAATTCTTTTCCCCATCTTTTCATTCCTTAATGAATTCATATACCCCTAAAAATATTAAAATATATAATTGAATATCCATTTTAGTGTATGTTTAACCATTATTACATGAATTGCATGTTTAGCACCAGTATAACTCCCTGAATAAGCAACACCAATAACCCCAGCTAAACTAGAAGTAACAGCAACATGTCCTTCTCCTCTCTGATTGAAATGTTCCAGAGCAACTCTACTGAGGTTAATCACAGAAAAGACATTCAATTCAAAGAGGTCTTTATCAACTGTAATATCTATATTCTCCCACATTGCCCTCTGGGATCTGCCTGCATTGTTAAATAGAACATCAACATGTCCAAAATGTCTGATTGCATTTTGAAAATGCATTTTGTGTGAAACCAAATCACACATATCCATTGCAATAACCAAAACATCACTGTCTATTAAACTTCCATTTGATAATTCTAAACATTTTCTTTTTACTCTTTCAAGTTCATTTCTCCTTCTGGCAGCTAATACAAGCTTAACTCCATGTTTAGCAAGAGCATAGGCTGTATATTCACCAATTCCACTGGATGCTCCTGTTATAAATACCACTTTGCCTTTGATTCTACCTGTTATTAAATTTTAAGACATTAATGCAAACAAATATTTAGAAACTTTTTTAAAACTTACTTATTGATTTACCAAAACGCTCTAGAAATGCTAGATTTAAATCGCTATCCACCAAACATAAGGCGACTAAATATATAACACCATACGTAAAAACGCCCGCACCAATTAATGCCCAAAACATTTTATTTAGCAGATTCTTATTAGCGCTTTATTTAGCTCCAACTTTTGTGCACTTTGCACTATGTTCACTTGTAAACTGAGTAATAAACCAAAATTCTTTAGGTTAGATAACTTTCGAACGCGATTTGTGTTATGTTTTAATTTTACGCATTTAACCACCCACAAGGAATATTAATAAAACATGACTGGCATTTGCTGAGGACACGATTGCACTGTGCGCTCCTGAGCAAACCAACGCAGCTTTGTTTACATTTAATTATCTCACATCAGCGCCGTATGTGATTAAAACTCGCAGTCGGTCATGTTTTATCGTTAAATGAACGCATTTAGATAATAGTTCAAGTACTGGAACTAATTTAACATACACTGAATTGAATTTACATTCATTGCTTTACGGTACAAGGTAATTTAAGTTTATATAACTTTGCAATGCATTATTGTAACGTAATATGTTGGTAATTACTTTTAAAAACACGAATAGAAACGTACATTTTATTGGAGTAGGCTCTGTTTGAGCATTTGCTGTTTATTGGGTTGCATACAATTGGCTCGCTTTCATCGCTTTCAATGTGCGGTTGTTAAGGTTATAACAATCACAATCGCATAAGAGAAAATAAATTTAAAAAGATGCTTTCCAATAAACTGATATTTACAAAACACGTTAAATCATGTGTGAAAGCTACGTATCAATGCCTGTCAACAGTCACACAACCACTACCCACAGAAAAATCAGGTACACTAATTAAATGATTCCACAAACTTCTTAAAACATTCTAAATCTAAAACTTAAATGTTTCTAGTTGAAGAAACCAAGGAAACCAACATCCTGAAGCATCCAGACTACTTCCAAGTGCATAACTTATTCACAGTCAAAGATTTATTTGATGCAAGAGTTCACTATGGTCATAAAGTTGGGTCTCTAGATGAGAGAATGTTGCCATTCATCTATGGCTCTAGAATGGGTCATACCATCTTTGATTTGGATAAAACTGCTCAATATCTAAGACATGCTTTAAATATTACTGCACATATTGCTTATAGAGAAGGTATTATCCTGTTTCTGCACAGAGGTGCTCAGAATATGCACTTGGTTGAGAGAACAGCCAAAGAATGTGGGGAGTATGCACATACAAGATTTTGGAGAGGTGGTATTTTTACTAATGCAGATAAGCAATTTGGTGCTGTTACCAGGCTACCAGATCTTTGCATTTTCTTGAACACATTAAATAATGTCTTGCTACAGCATACTGCTATAAGGGATGCTGCCAAAATGGCTATTGCAACAGTTGGTGTGGTAGACTCTAATTGCAATCCTAATTTGATTACTTATCCTGTGCCTGGCAATGATGATTCACCAGCTGCTATTGAATTGTATTGCAAATTATTTAAGGCAGCAATTTTAAGAGGCAAAAGAGAAGAAAAAGAGCATTTGAATCAGAATTAGTTTGATATAGTCATTATAGCTGAATAAATTTAATTATAAACTATGTTTAATTGAATCATCTATTTCTATTGGATTAGTATTTGTAAAACAACCAATTTTCCTAATGTTTGCCAATTTCAAACAACAAAATAATATTTTATATCCATTATTATCCTTTCAAAAGTAACATAACCTTAGTGCATAAGGTAGTGCATCAAAACATTCAACATCATAACTTAATTTATCAAATAAACTATAAAATGCTTATTAAACTGATACTAATATCCTAGTGTTTCATAATGAACGGTTTAATAAGCGCAGATATTATTCAGAACGACGTTCAGGTACAGGAATATCTCTTAAACTCATTTTTACCTCAATGTGAGCCACTTTATTCCGAAGTTGATGCTACCTGGACCCTTGAAAATGTCCCAATCTACCTCTGGGACACAAACACTATCCCTACAACACCCAGAAGAGAATTTGGAAAATGCCACAGAAGTTGACAGTGAGTCAACAAATCTAAATGCAATTACCTCCAGTATTTATCTGCCAAATGTACCCAATAGTAAAATACAAGTTTTGGAAGAGAACTTTTTAAATAATTTTAATAATCAAAACCAGAAGTTAGTTGTTAATGACACCACTACTAGTATTAATGATCAGATTGAGATTGTATCTGCACACAAATGCAAACTCTGTGGTCAATTATTTGAAAGATATGATACAATCATATCTCATATACAAAATGCACATCAGGCACATACTAAGCTGAAGAAAGATGAGGAAACCAAGAATTTATACTTGTGTGGCAAATGTGATGAAAAAAGTGTTGCTTATGAGAATATTGAACAACTTAAACTGCATATGATTGTTGTAAGTAAACTATTTTTATCTAAAATGATGTAGTTTAAATTTTTGTTGAAATTCAAGAGTCACAATTTAGTTGATAAAGAATCAGAGCAATCAGAGAATACAACTGATGGTGAGCTACTCAATGATGAGCTTCTAAAGAAAATGGTCCACAATCATGAGACAGCTGATAAAAAAGTCAAGTGTATGATTAAAGGTTGTGATAATAGCTTTGTAAGCAAAGAAACCATGCTAAAACACATGGAATATCACACGGAGGGCATGAAGAAGCGTTTCAAATGTTTAAAATGCGATAAGTTGTTTTTCATTTGGAGGACGTGCCGAGCACATATTTGGAAGGCGCATAAAATCGATGTTGGCCTGTATGAATGCTCAATGTGCAAGTCATTCAAATGTCTTGCTCCATGTAATTAAGCATAAAGCTATCTAATATTAATTTCCATATTCCTTAATTTATATATTTTCTAGATGATTTGTTGGTACATATGAAAATTCATAGTAATCCTAAGAATTTCAAACCATTTCTATGTTCGACGTGTGGAGAGCAGTTTAATCGTATGGCAGAGTTACAAAATCACTCAAACTCGCATGTTAAAGCGAAAGCCTGGGACGTAAACTGTCGAATTTGTGATAAATCGTTTGCAAACTTCAAGTATCTTAAGAGGCACATACAGTCAGTACACGATCAATACAAACCGTTCGTTTGTAATATTTGTGGGCATAAATGTGCGAGAAAATCAATGTTAGACGTGAGTAAAACTCATTTCTTTGCGTTTGAACCATGTACTAATGTTGTTGCTATTGATATTTGATATTTCAGTTACATTTGAGGCAACACACTGGCGAGAAACCTTATAAATGTGAACTTTGTGATTTTAAAACTGGCGATCATAATTCATTCAGAAGGCATGGCCTACGACACTCAGGGGTATGTTTATTTCAAAATTATTTGCGCATAACTACTTCATTTTGAATAAAATTTTAGTTATCGAATTACTCATGTCAATATTGTAAATACGTGACAATCCAAAGCAACGCGTATAAGTTACATATGAAAAAGAAACATCCAGGTAAAGGAGGCTTCTTTAGCTGTGCAACTTGTCCGTTTAACAGCGTTAATGAAAAATTATACCAACAGCACGTTGAGAAACATAAAAGAGAAAAACCATCATCTCCACGTAAGTTTATGTTCTAAGTCGATTATTAATCTGTGATTGTACGTTTAATTCCACAACTATTCTGTGGTTTTTTAGCTTCAGAAGAAATAGCGATCCTTGATAAAACAAAAGACTCAACAGTGCCAAACCTCGAAGACGAAGAAACGCAAATAGGTCTGTTTGCAGATCATCTAGAAGACACAGTAGATACTGGAGGAATTACAATCCCAGCTGTGGAAACTAACTCAACCTAAACGAAATTTTATAGAATATTTTCTGTAACAAGTTATGTTTTATTCTGTGTGTAAAAAGACCAATATTTCTAACATGTTTGAATTGTGAATTCTTTTTTAAGAGATGAACTTACATTCCGACAATAGGCTTCGGCCGATGTTTGAATATAATCTTTTTTGTAACTATAGTTTGTACAACAAACTCAGTATCATCGTCGGATTTTTCCCTTTTAAGTAAAGCCAAAGGATGATCCAGCGGCATTTCCTTGCCAAGCAACAAATGATGACCGATAATCAACAACGGCGTTCCGGTTTTTGTAAAGTGCAGATCGCCAACGTACTGAGATTCATAGGATTCATCTCCGCTTGATTTCAAATCACCCTGGAGTTCGATGATGGCGTATGATGAATCCAATTGATCCGCACTAGAATTAACAAAAATACACTTAACATACAGGTAAAAACTAATCATAACAAAATTTACAATAAATTATGTGTATCGGAATTTTTTAAACAAGGGATGTTTGTTAGTATTCGCGCCTCGCTTTTCGTAGTAAATTGCTTCGTCTGCACCAGACATCGAACTCATGTGCCCAGTTTTCCTGGATGCAGAACCTCGTGGTCCTACTTCACCAGGCACTCTTTCATCTTCACAGTCAATGTCACTGGCAGCCAAAACCTAACAACAAAACTACACATTAGAAAAATATTCCAGAACTAATCTACAAACAAAAATTTAACATACTTGTTGTAAAAGTTGTCCTTGTTCTTCGCGAGTTTTATACATGATATCTGGTTCATCCTCCATCCCAGCTAATTTAGTAATAACTTTATAGCTGTACCCTTGATTAACCAAAAACCTCTGTCGCTTTCTCGAATAATTCATCTCCATTGTATCTTGCGACACCAACGTATAAAAGAATGCATTATACTCTTCAGCAATCGCTCCTTTCTTAGCTCTCAAAATCCTACCCAATCTCTGTGCCTCCTGTCTTCTTGATCCACCATGTGAAGATATCTGAATCAACACATTGGCTTCCGGCAGATCAAACGACGTATCAGCGACTTTACTCACAAAAATCGTGTTGACTTTCTGGTTGAATTTGAAATTTTGCAAGATTTGAATACGTTCGCCCTGCGAAGTTGGTCCATAAATATAAGGCTTATTCATTTTAATCGCATAATGTTTCAACGCAAACACATTATCAGAAAATACAATTGTTTTATCACCACGCCGTTCGTGATATTTAATGAGATACTGTGTAGCTCTAAATTTATGCGGATTCATTACATAGAGCAGTACACGTTTACTCGTGCGACATATAAGATACTCTCTGTAGAATTCCGGAGTCATAGGACACCAAACTTCGGCACATTGCACACGTGCAATGAATCCTCTTTTCTGTAACTCCAACCAATTAGCTTCATACAGCTTAGGTCCAATGAGGAAATTCAAATCGGCGATTTTATCATCTTCACGAAGTAAAGTAGCAGTCAGACCAAGTTTTGAGTGTGATTGTACAATAGTCAAAACTCTACGAAACATTTTCGCTGGAATTGTGTGTACTTCATCAAGAACCATAATTCCCCATTCTTGTTCCTGCAGCCATTTCATAGTCTGCTCAGCTTCCCACGACCGACGTTGAGTGTGCGTGATCATAGAATATGTTGTAATTAATATTCCACAGCCCATTGGTTTATCTTTTGCTTCCGAAGTAAAACGGCAGATCATGCTGTCATCTGCCGTGCTCCACATTTTAAACTGTTGCTTCCATTGTTCAACAGAAACGCCGGAATTACACAAAACTAATGCGCGTTTCCGCACTGTACAGCAAGCTGTTACACCAACCAATGATTTACCAGCACCACATGGTAATACAATAACTCCTGATCGTGCACGACCATTGCCAAACATTTTTCGTAGACTTTTCTCTTGATAAGGTCTTAATACTGCTGAGGGTTTAAGGTCGTAGTTTATATCTGGATTGACTGTATCATTACGAAAATCGTACTCTGCTAGTAACGGATGTTCTAATTCAATGCAACGCTTTTGTATTACTTCAATCTTCTCCTGGTTCACTTCAAAGGAGACAGTGTTCAGTGATACTTCTTCATCATCTTCCTCATTGTCAAGTTTATCATAAAAGTTAGTAATGTCATCTGGGACTGTACTGGAACCTTCTTCATTTGTATTAGGTTTAGCACTGCTACCAAAACTGGGAGCTGTGACTTTTTCATTTATGTTGGTTTGTAATTCATCCACATCATCAGCACTTCTTCTCAATCTGCACTCTTGTATCACAGGATCTTTTAACAACTTCTGCAAGATTTCTGGATGTGGACTCTCAACAAAATACTTGTTGTGTTTTAAGACCAGCTTGACTTTACCATATGAAAGTGTACAAAGTTCAATAAATTGTATGATTCCATCTGGGACAGTGGTTTTACTCAATCTCTTAAGATATTCAATGATATCATGTGTTTGTAGACCAACTGACACAGCAGCATAGAGTGAATATGCTGTAAGTTTGTATTCATGGACAAACTCCGGGCGGCATACAGGTTCGGAAATAGCAATTAGAAAATCGTGCGCGTGTTTATATACTGGTGAGAATGATTCAAGAAAGATGTGGCCATTAGGAGCAACCCACAGTGGACGTGAACTGTGGTCGGGTTTGAGGGTCATTTCACTGCGGTAGTCTTTAGCGCCGAATTCATCTTCTTTGGATGTTTGATCACTGGTTTCGGCATTACGTGCCGCTGCGCCGGGGACGGCTGCACCGCCGTCGGGGCCATCGTTGGTGTCATCGTCGTCGAATTCTCGCAGTGCGGCGGCTTCCTCTTCTTCCTTACGACGTTTTTTAGATGATTTGCTTTCTTTTGAACTACCGGACCGTCTAGGTGGGCCCATTGTCTCGGTTTGCAGTTATTTCAAATATTGCACCACACTGCACGACGCAATTACAGCGAATGGGATGAATTAGTTTGGGGTTAGGATTTATAAGCAGGATACACACTGCTCTCGAAACTTCAAACAAAATATTTTTGTTGACGCATGCGTACTTATAAATAACCGATGCAAAAATACAAGAAAATTTGAGAGTATTCAGTAATTTCCTACATGCTTCTAATTAATTGTACAAACGGTGCGAGAATCTTATCAAATGAGTGCTGTAAACCCAGATTTTGCTTTTAATTCATCATCTACCGACACATACACAAATGCATAAAATAACCGCCGTTACTTGAATAGAAATATGCTTCAAATTAGTAGCTTTCCCTTTATTTTTGCGAATCTTTTAGAATTCACTACATTCACCTATTTTTATTTCAATTGTTTTAACTACTGCCATAATATGTGACCTAACAAGTCAACAATTCTGATAAATGATGAAAATTTGACGTAAGGTTGTGAAATGCGCGCGTTTTCCAGTTGATCGGCAAAATCCCAAGTAACGCAAGTAAAATGGAACGATGAGGGCAAAAAAAGTACTCACAGCTTAATCAAAATCGGCATTATCGATCCTCATCCACCTTCACCTTCGTAACATGAGCAGAATCGTGCATAAACCAAAATAAAAATCAACATCAACACTCATCAACTCGCACCATTACCGGTCGACTTTGACAAGAACAAGTCACGTAACCTATAAAGTCATGCACTTGAATTCCATCGGTAGGCACACGAGTGGAAAATAAAAGCATTAAACTCATCACAAGGAATTCAAATTCCATAATATGCCTAATACGTGACCAAAGAAGTATTTTAATCATTACCATTTGATATGTCACCACGAGTGAGCCACTTAGACAACGAACAATGCCGGCAGTGCACCAGCTTCGCTGATTATATGAAAGAGAATAAAAAACGTCTTGTAGAGGAACAAGACCGACGAAAAGGACAAGGCGTATGTGTAAGCACCCCTTTTCTTCCTTAAACCAGTAAACTATAATAATATTGTTGCAAACTTTGGTAATTTACTAAAATTCCATTTAAACTTTAAGGAATTTGTTGAAAACAAATCAAACTTAAGTTAATATTCTCTACAGGATGCTGAAGGTGCTGTTGGATCCAGACGACCGGATTGTCCTCTTGATAAGGACGAATTAGGCCAGAAATCATGGGGTTTACTACACACAATCGCCGCCAAATATCCGAAGAAACCAAATGACTCAGATAAACAGGACATTAAGACATTTTTCAATGTATTTGCAAAGTTGTATCCATGTTCCCACTGTGCAGAAGGCCTTAGAGAGGAGTAAGACTTCAAAAAACATGCATTACATGAAAAATAATTTTATAATGTTAACAGTTTGAAAGAACATCCAATCAGAACCAATAATCAGGATGAGTTGAGTCAATGGCTGTGTGAGATACACAACAGGGTAAATTTAAAGATAGGAAAGCCGGCTTTCGACTGTTCCAAGGTCCACGAGCGATGGCGGGATGGATGGAAGGATGGATCATGTGATTAATTGAGTATAGCTAGTAGAGAATATTTAGGCGCAAATAAACATACCGCGTACTTGTTTCACCATTTATATAATTGCGTTTTCTTGCTTAGTCTACTGAGCGTAGCGGTGTGAATACCTCGTAATCTGCAACGCGGAAGTAATAATCACCCATCAGGACGGATTGAGAGGCGCTTTCACCGTCGTAAGTATGTGGGAGGTTTGAGTAGGAATCCATGTTGGTATTGCAGTTGCTAGAAATGAGTAAATCGGCTCCTGCGCCAAAAATCGGACCAAAACTGAAAAAATAAACTCAATTATTGCTTCTGCACTAGTTTATCACGTGGCTGGTTAGCGGCCATTTTGTTTTATGCTTATACATACTCAGGATGATAACAAATCGCGACAGTTTTCTTCTTAATATGAAATTGAGTTGGTGGAACATCCTTATTATTACATAGTGTAAACAAAAACGCTTTATCCGAAGTAGCGTAGTGATGACTCTTCCCGGTTGAGTCTCCCATGCGGCATCACTGAATCCACCGCATATCTCTCCCTTGGCACCCAATACCACAACATATATTGGCGCTACACCGTCACAATGCCCGTGAAAAGCAGCCGCAGAGTATCCATGCGTGCTCGCCCTATAAACCAACCGCCAAGCCTGTTTTGGATTGGCGTACCAAGCATTTAAAATGCGCTGGTAGTGACTTTTGTCCTGACCTAGTATCAAAGAGCCTGGAAAAAGGTGTTTGGAGACGCGAGGTTTTAAGCGTTGATCTTCGCTGCCTTCGGAGAATTTGTTGGCGAGCGCCGCGTGCCGATAGCGCTCTAGACTGAGTTCCATTGGCACCGCTCCAGTCGGCTCCACTTCTTCGGCGAACACTTGACTGTCGATTAGTAATAAACGGACGTGATTTATCACTTGCGCTAGGTGCTGGCAGACTCGCGCGCGTTCTTCTTCAGTCCAGTGAATTGTGGGTTGCGTTACGCCGGCTTGGTATTTCGCCCAGTTTAAGGCTGCTCGCCAAACGTCTTCTTCTTCCATGCATAACTAAAATAACAATAGATAATTTTATATTATGAAGTTTAAAGTTCTTAAATCTTGATTATAGTTTTCAAAATTGAAAAGGAATGGGTGAATACTTACATAATCTGAAGAAATCAACTTGATAACAGCATCCTTCTTCAGTTGAAGAAACGAATTGGTCTTTACACATTCTATTGCATTTTCTCCAATGAAACTGATGCACCTGTCAACAAAAGCCACTGCTGCTTTGCCTCCTACAGTAAAAGAAGAAATAATTAAACAACTTTACCATTTACATACAAAAGATTTATTCTACTAGTTAAAATTACAGCTTATTGTAAGTAAAACTTAATTTAACTTAAATGTAATTGCTTCAAAATAGTTTTTAAGGTTGTTGGAGGTTGGAAATCAAGCAAGTGTTGGAGTAACGCCCTGAATCAGCGTAATATTATCGCCTTTGAGCATAATTCGTCCTAATTGTCTTCGGTTCTTAGTTTTCGTGTAATATTCTTCTGCGTCGTCTAACACCAGATTCATGTACTCGTCGAAACCGACAATGTGCCCCTCAATTCGCAAGTTAACGTTCTCGTACAGCCAAACTTGGACGCGTGAGCGATTCTGGAGGTAACGGAAGATAAGGTTGATGGGTTGGACCATCACCTTCTGTACTTTCGGTGGTTTGAATGCCATTTTAATTTGTTTTCTTATAAATTAAAGTTTAAACTTTCGGAAAACTGTTAGCGTTGTGCTAACGTCGCGTGAACGATCAACAAGAAGCCGACTTTTTGAGGTTATCCGGCGTTGCTTGAAACTGCTTGCAACTTAACGCGGTGTTGTCGGTGTTTCAAAAGTAAATTTGATTTAAACATGATTACAAATAGTGAAATTTAAAACTTTTTAACGTGAAAACAGAAGAACAATTAGAACAACAACCGCTTTGTCTATAAAATTAAGTTTTACTTGTATAAAGTTTCACAACAAGCAAGAAAAAGAGACTGCGATGGCCGGGAATCGAACCCGGATCAACTGCTTGGAAGGCAACTATGCTGACCATTACACCACCATCGCACTTGAAAGCAGTCATTCAAATATCTAAGCACAAACTAATATTAAAAAAAAATTGTACCAACCTCGAGACCTTTCTCTCATTTCCATCGCTGCAGCCATCAAAGTGCAAGCCGAAGCTTCAGATAACGTGGAAGTTACGTGATCTTCACACGCATTACGCAGTTCTTCAACACCCAATTCTTGTGCTAGTGTTAACATCTCAAAAACTCCGCTGTCTTGTAACAAAATCTAAGAAAATCACATGGAAAATTTTCAACGTTAAGACGCCATCTTGTTTGTTTGATTTCAGGAAAAGAGAGGTATAAAAGTAAGTGTAGAAACTTGTTACCTTTCCAGTGTACACATAAAGCATGAATTGTTTGAAGGTTTCAGGTGGTACTTGAGGCAATCTTATCGGGATCGGTGTACCTGGCGCACTTGGTGACACCGAACAACCCGGTATTCTGCATATTTCACCCCTTTTAGCTGTTTGAAAACTCTTGCACCTGTAAAGATCAAAGATCTCATACATTCAAGAGGTTAACTATTCATATAAGTGTCTAATTAATCTTTCTACTATGATTTTTTATTTCCATAATTCAAAATGACGACCAAAATTTTTTGTGATTCAAATCTGATTAAAATTCATCAGCGTGATTGAAAGCAGCGGGGGTGCGAAACGAAAATTAATTAAAACAGCAGATAATGAACTTTATTAATCGCCCGAAAGGCGCAAAGACGGAAGATAGAAAAGTTCAGTGGTGTAAACGGAAATTTTACATTTATCGCCACCCCCCCGCCTACTTCCGTCGGCCACCCGCCAGGGGGTACCAATTCGCGCGCAGTTAATTAACTTTTTATGCGAAAACCGGACACACGCAGCACAGTCCCAGTTTCACAAATTTCACAAAGTCACTGCGCAAAAGGGCAGCTTCCTCTGTGCTCTGTGATTCCGCAACAAACAGACCGCGATTAACGAGCGTCGGACACAGCACTAATTAACCTTTGGGGAATTTCATCAATCGGACGCCGGGACGCTTTGTGCGCACGTTCGGTAATCAATGAAATTCCCAAAACGTCCCTTCGAAATTGGTGCCAAAATGGATGTGATTTTAGCGCAAGCAATTTGTAAAAATTACCACTACCAACAAATACCTTGCCATTAAAATAACGCGATGTGCGAATACGCGTTCTTCTTCCCTGCCTAAGATGAAAACAATATCCGCCGAATCGGCGTCCTCGGAAAGTCTCTTCAAGTCGTCGAGGAGGCGCGGGACGCCTGCCAACGCTTTGTCTGCCGGAAGCGAGCCACTACCGCGAGAACTCATTGTGTGCCACTTGTTTACACTCTTTATTTATCAACTAACACCCAGTCACTTGTAGTTTGCAAGTAATTTTAGCACAAAACTCAAAATTAACGAAGTAAAACGCAGGATTTATTACATATTTTACACTTTAACACAAGCAGACATTGTCACATCATAAATATAACTAATTTCTTTGTTATAATTGCTGTTGTTGTTATTGTTACACAATTTTAAAGAGTAGTCAATGTTATGTTATGGAATACAAGAGAGTCGCGAGGTTAGAATCTCAGTTTGGGACGAGAACAAGATCGCATTCTTTAACTACCTGTTTTCGTCCAGCGCGTTGCCGTCTTCGTCTTGCGGACTTCTTTGATGGCCGAAGACCAGACTTTCAAGTCTGCGATTCACACAATAACACATACGCACAGTTGTATCAAGCATCACAATGCTTATTGAATTAAAGTACAACAAAAATTACATTTAATTAAATTTAACTTTCAATGTATAATAATTATTTTAACAGCACAATGTATATGTAGGCAACACTTACTTCTTTCTCAGTAAAACGTTACATGTAGGTTTGGTTGCATAACTTAAAAATTAGAACCGAAAAAAACATGAGAAACTCAAGCTTTAAGTAAAAATATTTCACAGTTAATGTACTACATTGATATTTTCATTGTTTCTCCGATATAAAATTTTCTCAAAAACAAATACAACAAAAGCAATATTTAATCCACAAATCCAAAGATAAAATGCCAGTGATAAATGTTCCATTTTCAAAATATGATGCATGGCCTTTTCTACAAATTTAATTTTTCTCTCGTTTTATGCTAAGTCCATGATAAAAATGGTCCAAAAACATATTACTAACACCACTAGCTCTTATCCAATTCATCACTTCATTATACCCTTCATACATTGGATGTCCCTTTATAAAGTAGTGAGGTAAATAATAATGATTCAACTTTTCTTCGATTGTTTGAATGCCTATATCGACACGATTTCCAAATATTCCATACACTTTAACATACTGCAACAAACTTCTTGTCCCAATCGAAACTAAATCTTTTTTTGCAACAATACGCATGTAATTCAGCGTATATTCATTATACACACTAATGGCAACATTCCTTTCATAAACAATCTGCCCAATTTTACCACCGGTATTGCGATATAAGTTTGCATTTGAACTCATCATAGAAATATTAATATTTCGGTCAATAATATCTTGTAGTGAAGAAATGGGAGCTTCACGATTTGTATATGTCATTGTAACAATCAATCGAGCTTCCCAACAAACATTTATCATGAAGATAAACAACCAAGTAAATATATAGAGGGTTTTTATAGATTTTCTTCTTGGATTGTGAGGTGGAACTTCATTGAAAAGAAACCTCAAGGGCATCACACACGAATTCCAAAACGGACGAAAGAATCGTTCTTCTTCAGGAGCAATTTTGCCAAAAATTCCCCAGAAAATGCACGAAATTACAATCATACCAGCAATACTAGCCCATATATGAGGTGAAAATAACCTGGTCAAATTCATTGTATGCGAAACAATCGGTGGAGTAGGTACATACCAAATTGTTTCATCGTCAATGAAAGGATATGTAATATCAAAATCAATCGCGAGCGGTACCAGTGTCAATTCAAGTCCACCTAAAGCCAAATCAGCTTCGCGATTGTAAAGACGATTAAGTAATAGTGTATATGATCCATTGACGAGACTACCATAACCTCTAAATTCAAAAATGTATTGATGATGAAATTGAAAATAAGGTTGAAATACAAATTCCATAAGTCTGTAATCTATACCATCGTATTTAATACCATCTAGGTAATCTAAAATGGTGGTTTTGCGTTTGTCATTACTATTATTGATGAGTTACGCCATGTTTTTGGTACTTTGTTGGGGAAATATTCACCAATTTGTATTAGGACCGGTGTTAAGTCTGGTTTGTTAATATTTTCTTCTTTATAAGGATAATAGGTGTAAACTAATGAATTACTCGTGATAATGATTACGTTGTAGATGTAAAAATCTTTTAAATATTTAAACAAATCTTCCAAAGATGATTTTGTTTGGTTTGTGAAGTAAATAATGAATTTTGCTCGTGAATTCCATTCGTGTAGTTGTTTTAACATATCGATAATAGTTGTGGATGTAATAACCAAGAAGTAGACGTTAACTGGAATGTATCTTGTCCAAAATGGTTCAAATGTTGCGTAATTACGCAAATTATAGTTGTAGATTAGTTTACTATAATTTGTTATTAAATAATCCAAATTTAAATGGTTGTTATCAGATGCGTACATCATTCTGTCCATTGGTGACACACAATTTGTCAAAATATTTTTTATTTTCTCTTCTATTTCTTCACTTTTTTGATTATTTGATGGTAATATGATATTTTTGTCAGCTGAAGCCATTTTTATTAATATTAGATAATAAAATATTTTGGATTCCATTTCGAACAATTTTTTCGTAGCAATAAACCTAAATTTTACATTTTTATATTTTTATATGATAATAGAATTATGATTCCAGTTATTTTGGTAAAGTTTTAACGACGCTGATAAATATTTAATCCATAATTCAACTTTAATAAAACTAAAACTAGTTTAAAAAGGTTTTAATATTTTTTTGATGGTTATCATCATTATAACTTGCGCATTTTGAGTATATACTAGTGCAATTTCTTTGTTTCTTTCAAAGCAAGCGAGTTTCACGCTGTGCAATAATGCAACACACAATTTTAACAGGATATGGCCGCCATTGAATTGTAGCGACGCGCGACGTTCGATTTATATCGCCTCAATGACGTTCGATGTTCGATGGGTTTGATGTATATTTTCGCGTCGTGCAAAAACTCGAGTGCTTGGGGTGCGGGAAATGAGAAAATATGGCATTTCTATGGCATTCCATTCACTTCCTCATTCGTTACCACCCGTCGCCACCCCACGCAACACACGTCCGAACGGCATGAACGCAAACAGAAATATATTAAACGGATGTGAAATGCCATTTTCAACTTGTATGCGTTGGACAGTGCAATAACAAGAAGGACGTTCAATGACTTTAATCATTTCGCAATTTGAAGACTTGCAAGTAAAGATTTGCGAAAACGGAAATAAAATATGCATGAGCTTCACTCTTGGCTGATTTGACTGACAAATTCGATGAATGCAAGTGCATAAATATTAATGCACCCTCTTGGAATGCATTTCATTGTCATAATGAACATGTTTCTCGTTCGTTACTTTCGACTCACGAACAACCCCGGCTTTAATTGCGAGGACAAATCGATATGTCACTGGCATTCGCACATTCGCCGTCAATTAAGAGAGCTTCACTGGATGAGTTCACAATCGGCATCAAATGGAGTCCAGGAATCGTGCAGATGTTCGTTGTGTGCTAACGCTTTGTGATTGTTGGTTGATATTGAATTACGCTTGGATATTGTAGTCCATTACAATGCAATTGCGATTTGTTTGTCGAGAAAATAACAATTTTAATGGCGTACATCCACGAAAACATAGGCAACTTTAATTACACATCATTCAGAATAATATTTTCCAGACACCGAAATAATACGAATACGATACTGATACTGATACAAGAAATAGGAGTTTGAGTGTTACAAGAAAGTAATAAAATCGTTCGCCCCTAAAACGCACTTTGATATCGAGATTGCGGCGATGTCCGGCGTTTTCTTTGCCTACATCTCCCAGAAAAATCTAATATAACGCTGTTATCATAAGGGATCTTCTTTCCTAGCATAGTAACACTAACGCATTAGTCATACTTGTTCCATCTCAACTCCTGCAGACGCACTCTGCACTACTGCTTTGTATTTACGCCGAAATGCTTAGTTGTGTACTTTGGGCATGTTTGAACAGGTCGTTGCAGGAGGCAAGTTTTTGCTGCGTGCGCTTGTCGTTGGAAGTCACGTGCCAGCGAGGTAATAAGATCTGACATGGACATGGACGAGCACAACAACAAGGGTCCGGGAGCATGACCAAGGGTAGTCGCGGTAGCATCAGGGACAGTCAATCCACAAGGTCTCCAAGGACCGTCTTGCCCGTCTTGGATACGCTGCACCATCGAAAAACACGCGGCCAACCCTCCGGAAAACCCATATACATATTAAGTAATAATCTTGAGTCTTTATTTAAACGTTGGGGGCTTACAGAGTGCGCGTTCGAGTGAAATTAATTTGTATTTGATGTCGTGACCGGAATTAGAATTTTGAAAATAGAACTGGCATTTGTGTACAGAATTGCAGTACAAGGGTGTGGTAATGCATATTTTTATTTTGATTTGTTTTTAATTGCTTTTATTATGTGTACATTGCACATCTAAAAAGATATAATTAGTCGAGGGTTAACTACTTAAGTTGTCAAACGGAAAAAAGAGCTTATAGATTAAGCTGACAGCTAAAAAGTACCTAATTGGCTTTGAATAACATGAGTCTACACTCTCAACACATTCAACTAACGCCACCTATTATAAAACTTCCCAATTTTAAAAACATAACCTAAAAATGATCAACAACTCCAATTTTCATTCTCAATACCTCGCAATAATGAAAACTTTCATCCCCTATGGTTTATACATTCGTGTTCGGCAAGGAATACTCATGCTCCTATAAGAAGACGATTTGAAATTCAAATGAGCGCTATAAATGTATTAATTCGAGTTCGAAGAGAGAAGATTAAACTTTGTTCGTAGCTTCCTGCGTTATTCGTACTACCCCTATACCAGTATGAGTACTAGCAACCAACAGGGCAACAGTGAAGCAATTTCACATGAATTGCCAGATAGTCGCGCGGATCTGCTTTGAGTTGTGCGCAGCGCGCTGGAAGTTGAGTGGAAGAAGATGGGGAAACATTATTCACCCCAGATCGAGGGAATGCGTCTTGGAAATACCCAATTTTGGGTTGCTACACAACAGTTTCATAAAAATCCACCAACCTAGGAGGAAAATATCATATAGAAATTCTTTAAAAAACTATTCTAGTCTGATATAAGAAAGAAAATATTAATAAGTCTTTGAAACGTAAGTAATATTGTTTATTAAGCATATTGCGCATGCGCAGTTTTAGTTCTTTTGAATAATAGTATCTATAAATGTAAATTTAGATAAATAAGTCAACACAAACACTATTTCGACATCATCACCAAGCTTGTTAACTCATATCAACTTCACGCTTCGATGATTTTAACTGTCAAGCGCGTTTTCACGGAGTACGATATCGCATTCAACGATTCGAACTATACGCTCATTCAAAACACAAGTCGAAATAGTTGCACAAGTCGTCGTCAACTGAATGAATTCAATGAATATTCGCGACGTTACGCTTTGCAATCTACGATGCACAGGAAGCG